CCTCCTCCTCCGCCTCTCCTCTCCTCCTCACCTTCACCTCCTCCCTCCTCCTCCTCCTCCTTCTCCTCCACCTCCCCCCTCCTCCTCCTCCCCTCCTCCTCCTCCTCCTCCTCCTCCTCCACCTTCCTCCTCCTCCTTCTCCTCCTCCGCCCCCTCCTCCTCCTCCTCCTCCTCCTCCTCCTCCTCCTCCTCTTCCCCCTCCTCCCCGAGTAATTTCTCCCTGGTGCACCCCGAGGACAGTTTTTAGGGCGGGCCGGGCGTTTCGCCTGAGACTTCCTCACCAACTATGATTCTGAAACTTAGCAAGTGGCAACAGTTTCACATTAGGAGGGTGGGTCGTTGTCAAAACGTGGCTCTCGCCTTAGCGCGGCGCACGTTCGTTGTAAAAAAATGCAAGATTTCCACTGATTGAGGGCGGGTGGTTTTCAACATGTGGCTCTCGCCTTAGCGCGGCGCACACTATGTTCCACCAATTGCAAAGGCTTCACGGATTGGGTGCGGGTGGTTTTCAACATGTGGCCCTCGCTTTAGCGCGGCGCACATTCCTTTTAAATATTTGCAAGAGTTCCACTGATTGAGGTTGATTCGTTTTCAAAATGTGGCTCACGCGTTAGCGCGGCGCACATTTGTTTCATCCATTTGCAAGAGTTTCACGGATCGAGGGCGGTCCCTTTCCAACATGTGACTCTCGCTTTATCGCCGCCCACATTCGTTTACATCATTTTGAAGAGTTTTATGGACTCCCATTATCAACGGACCAGACATTGTGTTTTGGAAGGATTCAGAATTGCGAAGGCCTTACGGCCGGTGCCGAGCAGAGCAGAGCACGGGGAGGAGGGCGCGGAGCATGGGGAGGAAGATGAGGACGGGGACAGGAGGAAGAGGTGGATGAGGAGGAGTAGGAACACAGGGGGAATGAATAGGAGGAGAGTGAGGCGAGCAGGGTCGCGAGGGGGGGCACGAAGGAAAGGCAGGGGCAAGTAGAGCGTGGCGATCATGAGGGAGATAATGGCGAGGATGTTGCCGATGTTGACGACGACGCCGGTTGCCTATCAGGACCATTCGGGGCGTCTTGGAGCCCTCTTGGGGCGACTTCCAGTCTTCGTTCGATGTTTTGAAGCTAGGTTCGGGATTTTGGGCATCTGGGAGGCCATGGAGGTGTAGTTAGATTTGGAGGGCGTCGGGGCTGGGACCTGGGCCATGGCTGGGGCCAGAGCGGGCTGGGAGCCAGGGCCAGGGCCAGAGCCGGGGCCGGGGCAAGGGCTGGGGCCAAGGCCGGGACTGGGTCCGGGCCGGGGCCGGCGGGGCGGGAGCCGGGGCCGGCCAGGACTGGGGCCAGGGCCAGGGGCTGGGACTCGGGCCGGGGCCGGGACCGGCCGATGAGGCCGAGGCCGGGGCCGGAAGCGGAGCCGGGGCTGGGGCTGGATTGGGGCCAGGGCCGGGGCTGGGACGTGGTAGAATGCCTCGGCTCGTGGTCCGTCGACTGAGGCTTTGTGTGGGCCATGGGACCCCCAGGAGGGGAGTCGTATCTGACGCGGGACCCCTCCCTGGCAGACCCCCCCAGGACCCCCCCCAGGACTCCCCCGGGACCCTCCCCGGGACCCCCCCCCGTCAGGGGAGGGATCAAACGGAAGGGGCTTCCCTTCGACTCAATGACAACGTTGCTCTTGAGGGGGAGGCTCTGGGAAAGCGGGGAGGGAGCGGCGACGGGCCCAGGGAAGAGAGGGAAAGGGGAGGAGGGGAGACGGGCCCAGGGAAAGGGGGAACGCAGGGACAGGTGACGACTGGGCCAGGGAAAGGGTGGACGCAGGGACAGGAGACGACGGAGACGACGAACGAACGACGGGAACGGACAAACCCCTCACACACGCCGACGCAGGGTCGGCGGATTTTGCGGGTGCAGCAGTTCTGTTGGTTCTCTGTGGACAGCTATCGGATGGCGGTCAAGCAGGCGCGCGCAGATGTGGGCGCGCCAGCTTCTCCGCCGCGTAGCGGCTCGCCACTCAGGGCCGAGCCACGACGCTGCGGAGGCTGCCGGACTGCATGGGCCATCCAGCGCCGAGGACGTGGGGCGTTAGAGAACCGTGTCTTGCGGTGCACGACATGCACCCTGGTGGTGGCGAGGGCGGCGATGCACCCAGAGTTGCTACGCCGTCGTTCGCTCCAGTTAAGTCAGGAGGTCGAGTGCCCGGCAAATGCGCGTGAGTGAGCCTGGACACTGCTGCTGAATGCATGTTTAGCAGTTGTTTGATTCGTTTGATACGGAGTTGGCCCGCCCGCCCGTGCCCGTGCCCGTCCCACTCTGGCGTTGTCGCAGAGCTTAGCGGTGTTGAGGGTTCGCAGCCCAGCTGGCACCTCTGTCTGGTTGTTATCACGACAATTGACATCGGATATTCTAGCTGTGCCGTCCACAGCTTGCGGCCGCGTTCGGCAGCTCTGGATCTCGGGTCAGGAGTTTGGAAAACGACTTGTTTGCTTTATTCAATCGCTTCGCTCATTCCGCTGGCCCTGGAACCCTCTTTGAGGCCTCTCGGGGGCCTCTTGGGAACCTCTTGGGAGTCTCTTGGGGGCCCCCAGGGCCTCTTGGGGGGCTCTTGGGGGGCTCTTGGGGGCCTCTTGGGGCGGGAGGGGGGGTAGTCGATTGTGGCTCCCCCCCTCGGAGGCCACGATCCTCGTGAGTGCTGTCGAAAAATGGCCCTGTCTGGCATCTCTGATCCGAGTGTCCCGGGGGTGTCCCTGGGATCTCCCGGGGTACGTTTGATCCGGGGACCCCCCGGGGCGGCCCCGCGCGCGCGAGCTAGAATATTGTTAACCAGTTACCAGAGATCTTAGTTCGCCCTTGGCCCGTTGGGCCGGCGAATTGTTCAGTGGCTGGCGCCATCCCTCCGCCGCCCCTCGCCTGGGTGAGATAATCGACGCGGGGCCTCTAAATGTGTGGCTTCGAATGCAGTGTCTTGTTCGGGCCCCGTCCCTCATCCTTCCCTTCCCCGTGTGTCCTACAATTTCCGGGATTGAGGCGGGGGTGCTGCGTGTAAATGTGGGGTGGCGCCGATCCAGACATGACGTTTTATATTTTGCGTTATCCGGTCAAGTTCCCCTCCTTTTCCTTCCTACTTTCGCGTTCGTCCTCTTATGCCCTACTCGCTCGTTCCTTCCTTCTCTCATGTGATATGGGGATCGGATTCGAAGCCCAGCTGGCACCTTCGTCTTGTTGTCAATACGATAACCAGCATCGGATATTCCGGGTGGGCCATCCACATCTTGCTGCTGCCGCTCTCGGCAGCATCGGATCTCTTGTCAGGAGTATGGAAAGCGATTGTGTTGCTTTATTGTTCAGTGGCTGATGCCACTCTTCCGCCGCCCCTAGTTTGGCTGAAACAACGGGCGCAACAGACGTTCCAGATGCCCCCCAGGCTATCCGATGTTTCCGGATGCTCACTCGATACGTGCGGAGTTTTCCACAGGCTGTCAGATGTCTCTGGATGTTTCGGGATGTCTTTCGGATGCCGTTCGGTGTTTCGGAGGTTTTAGGTGCCTTCGGCGTCATGGCCACGACAGCTACGTAGCACATTTCCGAAGGGCAGCGTCCCGCCGCCGTTTCCCCGAGGGAAAGGATGACGAGGAGGGGCCCATAGGACGAGGGACGAGGGGCATGGGAGAGAGACGGAGGGGGATGGGGGAGGGGAAGGAGGAAGTATGTGCAGGATCGGATGATGAGAGTGAGGAGGAGGGATGAGTAGTGAGTAGTGAGGAGTGAGAAAGAGGAGGAGGCGGCGGCGGAGGAGGAGGAGGAGGAGGAGGATGGGGAGAAGGAGGAAAAAGAGAGGAGGAGGATGAGGACTGGGAGATGGAGGAGGAGGAGGTAGGAAGGGAAGGGAGGAAGAAGAGGAGAGGGGAGGATACGAAGATGATCAATGGGGTGAGGGATGGCGAAGAGGGACATTGGACTGACAAACATTGGACTGACAAAACATGACACATAGACCAAGAAGGAGAGAGCAGAGAGTTGGAAGCAGAGAGGATAGAGGCAAGCTGTGCGCATTTGCGCCACATCCGACATCCCACTCTCCTCCCACATCCGTTCCCACTGCGCTGAGGATGCTTATGCTCACCGAGTTCAGTGTCGAATCGGACCTCTGACCCCCAGATTGCATTTCCAGTGCTTCTTTGGCCCGTCGTCCACAGCACACGTGCCAGGGCGCGCAGGAATGTCGGGAGGCGTCTTGGAAGAATTGGCGAGCACCATCGTACCGCGCTGTGCGCAAAGCGAGCAGAAACGCGCAAGCCAATGCCTCGAAGCCATCGAGACGTAACGCAGAGCTTGAGGCGGAGTGGGAAAGGCTGGAAGGAGGAGTGAGAGGTGGAGGCAAAGAGTTGGGAGAGGCGACCGGGGAGGAGGAGAAGGAAAGGGAGGAGTTGAGGATGGGAGAAGGAGGAGGAGGACGAGGAGGAGGAGGAGGAGGAGGAGGAGAAGTAGGAGAAGTAGGAGGAGGAGAAGGAGGAGGAGGAGGAGTTCCTTCTACCTCTCCTCTGGTTACTTGCGTCTTGTCATTGAAGCTCGAGGTCGCACCACAGAAAGCACCAGGCTCCGATGTATGGCAGCTCTCCGACGTGCCTGCGCCCCGATACCAGCGGGTGCCACCCGTGCCCTCGAATGCGCGAGAGTGCCAGCAGTTGTAGCAGGGCCGGCGCGGCGTATATGCGACCACGCTGATGCTCGTAGCTCCATGTGCGGACGGCATCCATGTGGCTCGAGGCCCTTGGCTCGGGCTGCGGGGCCTCCGGAGGGCCAGGGCCCCTTTGGCCCGGGGCCAGGAGGAGGGAGAGGTGGGAGGAGGGGGGTCGGGCTGGAGAGGAGGAGGAGGAGGAGGAGGAGGAGGAGGAGGAAGAGGAGAGGAGGGAGAAGAGAGGAGGAGGAGGGCTGGAGAGGATGAGGAGGAGGAGGAGGAGGAGGAGGAGGAGGAGGAGGAGGAGGAGGAGGAGGCAGCAGGAGGAGCCCCATGGACGCCGCGCCCCAGGGCCAGCCGGAGCCCCATGCGGGCGCCGCGGCCGGCGGCGGCGGGCTCCGCCGCGACCTGCGCGGCCTCGAGAGGGAGTGGGTCGAGGTCCCCGACGAAGGGCTGCGGTTCCTGTGGCACCGGCCGCCGCGCGAGGAGGTCGCAAGGCAGCGCGCGGAGCCCGGCACCGTTCGCATCTTTCTGAACGGCTGCTTCGACCTCATGCACATCGGGCATTTCAACGCCCTCCGTCAGGCCAAGAGTCTCTTTCAGCAGCGCGGCTACAGCAAGGTGGTAATGGTGGCGGGTATCCACTCGGATGAGGCGATCAGTCACCAGAAGGGCCCTCCCCTCATGGACGACGACGAGAGGATTGCGATGCTGCAGGCTACGAAGTGGGTCGATGAGATGGCCACTTCCTTGCCGTACACGTCCATGTCGGTGAAGATGGCCGATGCTCTCAGCGTGGACTGGATCTGTCACGGCGACGACCTGCCCGTCTGCAGGAGCGGCGGCGGCATGTACACAGACGCTATCGAGAAGGGCCGCTTCCAGATGTTGAAGCGGACGGAGGGCATCTCGACCACGCAGATCTTGCAGCGCTTGCTGGAACGCCCGTCTGGCGACGACCCTGAAGAGCACCCCGCCGTGCCGTCGGCCCTTGCCGCGGGGTCCCAGGGCACCCACGACGGCGGGCCGCCCCTGGAGTCCGCGCTGGCTACCACCCAGCGCCTCGCTCAGTTCGCCGAGCGGCCCGGCGGGGCGCAGCGGGGCTGCATCGGTGACGCCAAGCGCGTCGTGTACATCGGGGGGACATTCGATCTCCTGCACGTCGGGCACGCTCGAGCCCTCGAGCAGGCGTCGGAGCTCGGAGACTACCTCCTCGTGGGCGTGCACTCGGACGAGACGGTGCGCCGGCGGCGCGGGATGCTGCCAGTGCTGACCCTCATGGAGCGAGCCATGGCAGTGCTGGCGATGAGGTGGGTCGACGACGTGGTCCTCGGCGCTCCCTGGGAGGTGACCCGAGATCTCCTCGTGACCATGAACGTCGCGGTGGTCGCGGCGGGTCAGCAGGGTCCGCTTTCTGCGAGCAGCGGACCACTGGTCATCCCCCGCACGCTGGGGATTCTGCGGGAGGTCGACAGCGAATCGCAGCTGACCTCTGGGTCCCTGAGGGACCGCTTCCTGCAGCGGAGGGACTCCATCGAGAAGCGGAACGGCGCCTTGCTTCCCAAGGAAGCCACCTACACACGGGCGAAGGAGTACGTGCCTGAAGCTTGAGTGGGTCAGGGCTTGCGGATCGTTGGCGTCGCGTGCGATGCTTGAGGTGTTCTCGAAGCCGCTTCGGGCAGACAAAAAAGAGTACCCCCACGGAGAAAGCATGGAGGGGCAGGCGTGGCAGGCGCCGAGGCGAGAGCGCTGCTCCAAACGGCCGAATGTGTTCCAGCGCACACGAATCAGCATTGTGTGGCATCTGATGTGCCAGACGCCACACGCGCGACAGGCGGGCCAAACCCCCAAAATGTAGTCAGCGTCGCGAGGGCGAGGTCACCTCACTGCAGGGCGGGGAGAGCGGGAAGGACAGAGCAGGCAGGGGAAAGGACCGACGCAGCGGTGAGAGAGGATCGAGGAGGGTTGACAGAGAAGGGGGGAGCGATGGGGGAGGTGCGGGAACCGACGAGGACGGCGCGGCCGCCTCCCTGCGATGACAGCAGCAGGGCAGGACAGGGGCTCGCCCGAGGCATAGCGATCGCCATGCCGGTGCTCGAGGCGACGGGCAGCAGGTGGAGAGCCATGCAGATGGCGGTGCTGTCGGGTCTGGCCGAGCCGCTAGGCGGGGATGGCGGGGGGCGGAGCGGCAGAGGTGCCGTGGGAGCAAGGGGCTCGTGGGAGGAGCAGGGGAGAAGGGGAAGGAGGAGGGCAAGCGTAGCCCCAGTGCTCATCGACGATGTTGTGATAGGCCCTCCCGCCGTGTTCCCTGCGGCTCCCTGCAAGGATTTGCTTTTCCCGCGGGAAGTGCCCCGTTGGAAGACAACCACCTGACAAGATGCAACCATGCCAAAGCACCATTGCTGGAACTTCAGCGCCGCGAATCAACGTGACTGTTGCGTCCTGACGATCCTAAATCGTGCCAGAACACCATGCCTGGGACCTCAACACTGCAAATCAACGTGACTGTGGCGCCCTGGCAATCCTAAATCGTGCCAACACAAAATTTCTCGGACGTCAACCATTAGAATCCTTGACACGGCTGTAGACTGTTAAGGCGAATGTGCGCGGCCCTCAGGCGAGATCCACGTTTTGAAGACGAGCCGCTCTCCATCTGTGAAGCTCTGGCAAAGTTTTAAGACGAATGTGCGCGGTGTTTAGGGCCACGTTTCGAAAATGACCCGCCCTCCATCCGCGAAGTTGCTGCAAACTTTTAGGGCGAATGTCCGCGACGCTGCTGCGAGAGCCACATGTTGAAAACGGCCCGCTCTCCATCCGTGAAACTGCTGCCGTCTTGTCAGCTCCAGGATCATACACGGTGAGGAAGTCTCACGCGAAGCGCCTAGCCCGCCCTAGCGATCTGTCCGGGGGTCCGACGGGGTGGAGTGATCTAGAAGGAGGAAGGATGGAGGAGGAGGGAGGGGAGGGGAGGGGAGTGGAGAGGAAGGGAGAGAGGGAGGGAGGGAGTTGGAGGGGCAGTAGGAAGAGTGGGGAGGGGAACGGGGGGACGGACAGGGACAGGGGGAGGAGCGACAGCAGAAAGAGGAGGTTAGGGAGGAGGATGAGGCCACTGGCAGGACCTCGCCCAGCGCCTGCTGCACGCCACGGCGCGGGGGTGTCCAAGGCCTCCCGCTGAAACTCGGCGGGGCCGAGATTCAGCGGGCCAATACCGGGCGGGTCGCGGCTTTCTGGGCGGGCGGGACTGCGTGCGTTCTTGAGGTGGCTGCGGGCTTGGACGCAGCCTCCTTGCGCGAGCTCTTGGCCGCAGCGCCGCGCCTCGGCTGGGCCCTCTACGACGCTCGGGCGGAGTTTCCCCTCCAGGCCACGGGCCCTGCGGCGCGCGCCTTCCCACGCGTCGGGTTGACCCAAAAGGGGGTCCAGCGACAAGGGGGTGGTGCAATAGATTTGGTGTATTGCGGACTCTCGCGTGCCATACATGACTTGCAGTGCAATGCAAAACATGTCTCCGGCGCAGTACATGTGCAGTGCAATTGCCCCAAATCTATTGCACCCCCCCCCTTCAGCTGGACCCCTTTTTGTCACCGAGCGCGTTGCGCTACTCGCAAAGTGCCTACTCGCAAACGTCCGAAAAAGAACGGCTCTCCCACGCGTGACGGAGCGTAAATCCCCCGCGGCGGATCCAGGCCATTTGCGAGTAGCTACTTTGCGAGTCGTGGAACGCGCCTGTCTGTCTTGGGTCTACTAGAGCTTGGCGCCCTGGAGCTCCTGGGAACGCAGAGCACTCTCCGTGCAGGCTGCGCGGGCGACTGCCTGCGCTGCCCTGCGGCAGCGCTCGCAGCCAGCACGGGAGGGCGACGCTCTTCGGGGCGGTAGGGCCCGAGACCGCGGCTACTGTTCAGTCGGGCCTGTCCCTCTACAGGAGGAATATCCAAAGATAGCCAAAAATAGTATGGGAACGATTTTTCTACTATTTTCTTATATGTTTGAGCATTTTCTGATTATTTTCATTTTTCGTCCAAAATCCGCCTGTAGGAGGACATGCCCGATCTAAGGCTACGGTCAATCTTCGAGGCGGGAGGGCCAGAGACCGCGGCTACCCATGGGTCGTTGATAGTAGGTCTTTTTGGATCCCCAGAGCCCAATCTACTTCACGTGCCCTCCTACTTCACAAGAGCCGATCTGCTTCATATATGTTATGTTCTTATCTGGGAGGGCCTGAACCCAATCTACCTGCTCCGCTCCCTGCTTCATTTTTTTGTCCTGCTTCTTCTCACCGGCGTGTCCTGTCAGTCATCCGACCGACCCTTTGTGCTCCACTGAGAGCGCGTTGTGGGCCGCGGCCTTTCGCGCCCGCCGCCTGCACTTGCCAGCGGCCGAGCGCGCGCAGACCGCCTGGCGGCGGCGCACACGAAACCGCCCAGCCGCCCGAGGGGTCGGCGGCGCGCCGTGCGAGCAACAGCTGGGCGCAGAAGGCACGCACGCAACGACCTGCGCGCCGGGCGGCGGCGTCGCGAGCCGCCGCGGCAGCCTCGAAAACGGGATGGCCGGGTGGGTCTGTCGCTGGCTGCGCGTCAACCGCTTGCGAAGCAGCCCTCGCCGACTCGGGGCTGCACGCGCCGTCGGCGGCCAACGGACCCACCAACGCGGACCGGGTGGAACACGCGGCCCTGGATGTAGAGTGCTGCGACGGGGCCGGCCGCCACTGGGTCGACGTGTCGGTCTGCCACCCAGCTGCCGCGGACGCTGCAGCGGTGGCACCGCGCCGCGGAGGCGATACCGCCCGAAGGGCAGAGCGCCAGAAACACGCCAGGTACCCGTGGGACCGTCTCATGCTCATTGTGGTCGAGACCCCGGGTCGCCTATGCGGAGTGCCCGGCAGTGGCTTCTGAGGCAGGTGCGCGCGCTGCTGGCTGACCGGCAGCCTGGCGAGCTGGCAAGAGCCTACGAGGTGGCCAACTGCGTAGTACAAGTGCAACTTGCCTTGCAGCGCGGCCGGGCTGCCGTCTTGGCCTGAGTGCATCTGGCCCGTGGCCTCTTGTTTTTTTCTCCTTCCTCCCCTATCCTCCTCTTTCTAGGCCTCCTAGGTGGGGTCGGAGCAGATGGGGTCGGAGGATCGCGCCGCATCGCCGATGCATCGCCGATGCGGCTCGATGTGGATCCCGATTTTCTTCACGCAGACGTCGCCGATGCGTCGCCGACGTCGCCGATACATCGCCGGTGCATCGCCAGTGCATCGCCGATGCGTCGCCGATGCTTCGCCGATGTGTCGCCGATGCGGCGCGATCCTCCGACCCCATCTACTCCGACCCCATCTAAGCGGTCTCTATTCTTCCTCCTGCGCCGCCGCCCCGCCTTTTGGTCTTCCAATCCCTGGAGGATTCCTTATATGATGAGGGCGGCCGTGATATCCGTGGCGAAGCCTCAGTTGGTGTTCCACCGGCGTCCAGACCCTGGATTCCCTATCTAACGGTTCCTCATCCAATGCTCTCACCGTTGTTGTGTGTTATTCCTCCCATCAGGGGGCTCGGGGTACCGTGCAAGCCATATTCCATTCCTAAGAACCGTCGAGAATATCTCGATCGAATTTCACGTATTCTCTTCCCCAAGGTTTCAGTGGGGTGCGGAAGTTGGTACTGGCATCTGTCAAGGCGGTAATCCTGGTAATCCTCCTGCGCCGCTGCCCCATTTTTTGTTTTAAACGGGCCAAGAACGGTATGTAGCCAATTTTTGTCGTTGCCGGGGGCGCCTGTCTCAGGGCGGCTTGAAAGTTTATGTCCTTACGGTGGCACGTCAAGGTATAAACCTTTCCAGCCGCCCCGGGACGGGCGCCCCTTGCGACGGAAAAGTTTATGTCATACCGTTCTTCGCCCGCTGAATTCTGGTTTTGTTATGTTTCCAGCCCCCTCCGGGGCTCCCCGCCCCTTCCCCCTCCTCCCCCCCCCAGGCTCCCCTTGCCTCGGGCGGGCGCGCCCGTGCGCTTCGTTCACGGAGGGGTTGGGTGGCGCGCGGCCCCCAGCCGGGCACCTCCGAACGCCCCCCCCCCCTCCCCCCCCCAATTCGGTGTTTTTTGCTCTGGATCTTTTTCAGGGGTGCTGGGGCTCCGCAAGTAAAAAAACAGCACTGCCTCCGAAAGAGCCCAGAGAAGATCCCGAAACAAAAAAAACAGCTCGGTGCTTGTTCTGGGTCTTCTCAGGGGCTCTGGGGCCCCGCATGGAAAAACAGCATGATCCATTCCGAAAAAGCCCATCGAGAACGTCCTGCAATCAATCAATCTATCCTAGTCGAGGCATGTTCTGGTGTGTGCTTGGGGGGGTCCTCCCTCCTCCCCGGCCCCATCACCGTCTCTTTTGTTGGGGGTCCTCCTCCCCTCAGGGGCAACGATAGGGGGGGATAGGCACAGGGGGGGATGCACCTACCCCCAGTCGCCCATGGATCGCCGATGGGGGCCCGATAGCCCCACCGCGCCCAGGAGGGTGCGGACTCACGATCGGGCGCCTATCGCCGATCTATCGGCGATGTATCGCCGACTCCAGGTCGATGCACCCCCCCCTATGCCTATCCCCGTGAAAAATAAGACCGAACACCGATCCAGCAAATGCGAAATCGGATCCGCGCGGACAGAAATCGGATCCACCGAAACACACACCAAAACCAAAATTGGATCCGCGCGAACTGCATTGGATCCGACGGCGGGTATCTCACACGCGTCTGCTTGAGACTTCAAACCTTCGCTCCGGGCCCAAGAGGAAAAATCTTTTCGTCCTGGGGATGTATGCCCATCCCCCCCCGTATCGTTGCCCCTCATCCCCGGCCCCACCACCGCCCCTTGCCTCCTCCAGGGTATGCCCCGCCGCCGGCGCGCCCAGCAGACCTCCTGGCGGCGCGCCCGGCCCCCGGGGCGCGCGCCCGGGTCTCTGGCGCCGCTGCCGCGGGTGGCTCGGTGCATCCACGAGGCTGCTGCCCGTCTCTGCAGGCTGGTCCTCGCCGTGCTCCTCGCTCCTCGCCCTCTGCCTCCTCCCCTCTCCTCTCCCCGCGTCTGCGGGTTCTCCTCGTCCCCCTCCCCCCCTTCGTCTTTGGGGATTCTATGCTGGAGCGCTCTTTGACATCCGTTTGGCTGTTATGCTGTAGTCTCGGGGTCGCCGCAGTCCCGCGCTGTTCTCAGAGTGGTGCACCCCGCATGCTCTGTGCCGCCTGTTCCCCCTCCTCCGCCCGTCGCTTGCCTCCGCCAGTGCTGGTCGACGCGCAGGGGCCCTCGTATGTTTGGTGCCCCTCGTTCCCCCTCCTCCGCCCGTCGCTTGCCTCCGCCAGCCCCAGTCGACGCGCAGGGGCCCTCGTGGCAGTCACCGTGCTGCCGGCCAACTTTGTGGAGGCCGGATGGGGCTGTTGCTTCGCCCCCCCCCCCCCCCCTCCCACCCCCGTTCTCGCCTTTCTTGTCTTTTTCCTCGAGGCAGCATCGGTCTACTTCGACATCAGCAAGTTCTACGAGCAGATCAGCCACGGGCTGCTCCTCGAAGCGGCGCGGGGCTGCGAGTTCAACACTGGGTTGATCCAGGCGCTGTGCGTGCTGTATTCGGGCCCCCGCAGAGCCAGGGCCGACCTAGCCCTCAGCGAGCAGCTGGTCATCGACGACACCGTCATTGCTGGATGCTCCTGTGCGACGACCATGGCGAGGATCATGCTGTACGACCTCCTGCTGCAGTCGAGGAAGCTGCTGCCAATTGGCAGGGTGGTCAACGTGATTGACGACATCTCGGGCCACGGCATCGGCACGCGCAGGCTGGTCGTCGAGCAGATCGCCAGGTTCGCGAAGGGCGTCGCCACCATGCTGGGCGACAAGCGGCTCCCCATCAACTGGGGAAAGACCAAGGCACTGGCCTCCTCGGTGAAGCTGAGGAGAGAGCTGCAGCAGCACGCCGACTGGGTCCTCGCCGACGAAGCCTTCGTCGCTGGCCACCGCGACCTTGGAGGCGACGCGACGGCGGGCAGCCACCGCAGGGTCGGGACGCAGGTGGCCAGGGAGCTGGCGGCGCTGCGGCAGGGCAACAACCTCACCAGGATCTTCGGCTCGGGGATGCAGGCCAAGATCCAGAGGGCAGGCCCCACTGCCAAGGCCCTGTGGGGCTCGGCCATCAACGGGATCCCGCCTGGGCGCATGAGGGCGCTCAGGATATCTGCGGCGAAAGCCGCCTGCAACCTGCCGACGGGCGCGGCGCTGACCTTCTGCTTGCAGTGCGCGCCCCAGGGCTGGAGGCAGGATCCGCTGGTGATTGCGACGGGCCTGGCTGTCCAGGCTTTCGTGGCCATGAGCTGGTCTGGCCAGGCCTCTCCTGCCGCCGTGCAGGCCTGCCTCAGGGACAGCAGCCGTCTGGCCTCGCTGCAGAGGCCGTGGGCCGCGGTGCGCGACCCCGTCTCGGCGCTGGTGCTCACGCTAGGGCGGGTCGGCTGGGGTCTCAGAGCTGGCGGACGCGTCCTGACCGACAGGGGGGGCAGCGAGTTCGATGTCAAGAGGTTCTCGCCCGCCTTCCTCGCCGCCAGGGTCAAGGAGGACACGCGTCAGGCGGCGTCGCTCGAGGAGTACGCCAGCAGGCCCGAGACCTTCTGGCAGTGGCGGCTGCCGCCGTGGTGGACGCCGATCAACCAGCTCCTCGGCGCCAAGGAGTCGGAAACCTGGACGGCTCACCACAAAGGCTGCTTGAGACGCTTGGCGTCGCTGGCCAGCTGGCCCCAGGCCCGACTGGCGAGGCATGGGCGAGAGATCGACCCGCTTTGCAGGCTCTGCGGCGCCGCCCCTGGGACGATGCACCACAGGCACCACGTGTGCCCAGCCTGGGCGGCCTGGAGGCGGGACTACTGCCCGTACCAGGTGAGACAGGCAGCGGAGCAGGCCCACCGCATGGGGCCCCCCTTCGACGAGCTCTTCAGTCAGGGGCTCTTCGCCGACATCAGCCTCCTGGTGGCCAGGCCTGCCTGGGATGACAGCTGGGCGCGGCGATCCTGCGGGTGGGGGGACGGCATCTTGGTGGTGCCCGACGGGTCCTTTGTCTTCACCGACGGCTCGTGCCTGAACGGGGACTTCCCGCACGTCAGGAGCGCTGGCTGGGCCGTCATCGTTTACGGGCCCGAGGGGAGGCTCATCGCCGAGGCGTGGGGCGCCGTGCCCCCCAGCGACCTCCCGTCGCAGGCGGCCAAGGCGGGAGAGGACTTCGCTGCCGCCATCGGCCTCGCCGACATCATCGGGAACTACGCGCTGCTCAGCGACTGCTTGAGCGCGGTGAAGGCTGCTTCCAACCTGTCCAAGGCCTGCGGCCCCAGCTCCCTGCACGCCCACGTGTGGGCCAGGGTGGGCGATGCAGCGGAGGGCGTCACCATGCGCCACGTGCCCGCCCACCGCACCGAGGCCGCGGTGCAGGACGGGGAGCTCACCCTCTTCGAGCTCGTGGGCAACAGGCGCGCCGACACCAGGGCAAAGGAAGGAGCGGCATTCCACGCCATCGCGGAGCAGGACGCCCTGATGCTGGAGGGCTGCCTAGCTCGGGCGAAAGAGGTGGCCAGGTGCGCGGCGGCCCTCGAGGTGCACATCGCCGAGTCGGGGCTCAGGGATTCCTGGCCGCTCACCTCCCTGGACCTCGTGGACCTGGACCCCTTCGCTCCGTCGCCCGCCCTGGAGCAGCTGCTGGAGGCCGAGGAGTCGACTGCCCGTGGCCCTGGCGGATTGGCGGCCTTGGGGGCGGCAGCAGCGCTGGCGACGGCAGCGGCGGCCAGCCAGGGAGCTCAGGCCCAGGACCAGGTCGACACGAAGGTCCGCAAGAGGAAGGAGGCAGGCGTGGGGCCCGTCGGGCCCAGTGAGCCAGCCGCTGACGCGTCGAGCGCGTCGGCGGCCTTGCTTCGCGCGGTCCAGCGCCGCCGCGCAGAGAAGGCGGAGCGGGCAGCGCCCTCGGCCGCGGGCGCACTGAGCCCGCCCCCGCCGGCTGTGTCGCTGCCCCCTCCCCCTCCTTCCTCAGGGGCCTCCCCTGCTGCTGCGGCCGCCGCCCCGCCTCCGCGAGCCCCCATCGGGCCCTGCTGGCCAGGTGAGGACCCCAGGGCCCCATTTTGAGACCCCCGACTCTGGCCTAATGTCGGGGGGCTCAATTTCGAGTTTTTCGCGAGCCCGCCCGTCCCAGGACGACCCTGTCGAGTCGGGAGTCTCGGAGGTCAACGGCCACCGTCTTCGGGAATCCCGCGTTTCAGGCGGTGATGGCCCAGAGTTTTTGGTTTGTGTGGCGTGCTGGATGTATTGCCTGAAACCCCAGTACTGCCACATGGGCCTAGCCAAGGCCTGCAGCGGGGCCCAGCGCGCTGACGACCCCAGGGCCAAAAAGGGCTCCAGGGCGCAGGCGCGAAACGATTTCGCGAAGTCGCTCTTGCCTGGGAAATCCAAGCAGCCGATCGACCAGCTGGCTCGGCCCACAGCGGCCACCCGTGCCAGGTGGGCCGAGGCGCTCGGCACGGTCGCGGGCCCTGAGGGCATGGAGGACCCTGTGGCCCCTGCAGGCTCCAGAGCCCCCGCCGTGGAGCCCCCAGAGGTGCGGGATCGGGCACCCGCCCCGCCTGCCCCAGGGAGGCTGTTTCGCCCAGGGCTCGAGGGAGCCCTGGGCTCCTTCGGCTTTGCCAGCGCTGCTGAGGCTCAGGGGCGAGGCAGGGCCGCCAGGGCGGCCAGGATGGCGGACCCCAGGCCTGATGTCGGTCAAAGCGCGGAGTGACGGTGGCCGCGCTTCGGGGTCTGGTCCCGGTGGGCTGCGGGCCCGTGCAAGCTCTGTTTGCGGGGCCGTAAGACGGCGTCTGAATTTGTCTGTGCATGATAAGCCCCAGGGTGATAGGATTAAAAAAATGCTCTCACCGTTGTTGTGTGCTATTCCTCCCATCAGGGGGCTCGGGGTACCGTGCAAGCCATTTTCCATTCCTAAGAACCGTCGAGAATATCTCGACCGATTTTCACGTATTCTCTTCCCCAAGGTTTCAGTGGGGTGCGGAAGTTGGTACTGGCATCTGTCAAGGCGGTAATCCTGGTAATCCTCCTGCGCCGCTGCCCCATTTTTTGTTTAAACGGGCCAAGAACGGTATGTAGCCAATTTTTGTCGTTGCCGGGGGCGCCTGTCTCAGGGCGGCTTGAAAGTTTATGTCCTTACGGTGGCACGTCAAGGTATAAACCTTTCCAGCCGCCCCGGGACGGGCGCCCCCTGCGACGGAAAAGTTTATGTCATACCGTTCTTCGCCCGCTGAATTCTGGTTTTGTTCTGTTTCCAGCCCCCTCTGGGGCTCCCCGCCCCTTCCCCCTCCTCCCCCCCCCAGGCTCCCCTTGCCTCGGGCGGGCGCGCCCGTGCGCTTCGTTCACGGAGGGGTTGGGTGGCGCGCGGCCCCCAGCCGGGCACCTCCGAACGCCCCCCCCCCTCCCCCCCCCAATTCGGTGTTTTTTGCTCTGGATCTTTTTCAGGGGTGCTGGGGCCCCGCAAGTAAAAAAACAGCACTGCCTCCGAAAGAGCCCAGAGAAGATCCCGAAACAAAAAAAAACAGCTCGGTGCTTGTTTTGGGTCTTCTCAGGGGCTCTGGGGCCCCGCATGGAAAAACAGCATGATCCATTCCGAAAAAGCCCATCGAGAACGTCCTGCAATCAATCAATCTATCCTAGTCGAGGCATGTTCTGGTGTGTGTTTGGGGGGGTCCTCCCTCCTCCCTGGCCCCATCACCGTCTCTTTTGTTGGGGGTCCTCCTCCCCTCAGGGGCAACGATAGGGGGGGATAGGCACAGGGGGGGATGCACCTACCCCCAGTCGCCCATGGATCGCCGATGGGGGCCCGATAGCCCCACCGCGCCCAGGAGGGTGCGGACTCACGATCGGGCGCCTATCGCCGATCTATCGGCGATGTATCGCCGACTCCAGGTCGATGCACCCCCCCCTATGCCTATCCCCGTGAAAAATAAGACCGAACACCGATCCAGCAAATCCGAAATCGGATCCGCGCGGACAGAAATCGGATCCACCGAAACACACACCAAAACCAAAATTGGATCCGCGCGAACTGCATTGGATCCGACGGCGGGTATCTCACACGCGTCTGCTTGAGACTTCAAACCTTCGCTCCGGGCCCAAGAGGAAAAATCTTTTCGTCCTGGGGATGTATGCCCATCCCCCCCCGTATCGTTGCCCCTCATCCCCGGCCCCACCACCGCCCCTTGCCTCCTCCAGGGTATGCCCCGCCGCCGGCGCGCCCAGCAGACCTCCTGGCGGCGCGCCCGGCCCCCGGGGCGCGCGCCCGGGTCTCTGGCGCCGCTGCCGCGGGTGGCTCGGTGCATCCACGAGGCTGCTGCCCGTCTCTGCAGGCTGGTCCTCGCCGTGCTCCTCGCTCCTCGCCCGCTGCCTCCTCCCCTCTCCTCTCCCCGCGTCTGCGGGTTCTCCTCGTCCCCCTCCCCCCCTTCGTCTTTGGGGATTCTATGCTGGAGCGCTCTTTGACATCCGTTTGGCTGTTATGCTGTAGTCTCGGGGTCGCCGCAGTCCCGCGCTGTTCTCAGAGTGGTGCACCCCGCATGCTCTGTGCCGCCTGTTCCCCCTCCTCCGCCCGTCGCTTGCCTCCGCCAGTGCTGGTCGACGTGCAGGGGCCCTCGTATGTTTGGTGCCCCTCGTTCCCCCTCCTCCGCCCGTCGCTTGCCTCCGCCAGCCCCAGTCGACGCGCAGGGGCCCTCGTGGCAGTCACCGTGCTGCCGGCCAACTTTGTGGAGGCCGGATGGGGCTGTTGCTTCGCCCCCCCCCCCTCCCACCCCCGTTCTCGCCTTTCTTGTCTTTCTCCTTCATCAGCTCCTCATCATACTCGTCCTGGTGCTGCTCTTTCTCCTTCTCCTCCTGCACCTCTTCCCATTCGAACTGTTACATTCAATTTCACACCATTCCGTTCATCCTTGTCCTTCTCCTGCGGCTCCTCCGTCTGCTGCTGATCCTCTTCCTCTGCCCTCTTCCACCTCCTCCTTCCTGCTGTTGCTCTTCCTGCTCCTCCTCGTCCTTCCTCATCGGCCACTCCCCCATTAGCCTGGTGGCCACAGTAGGTTGCTCGACCAGCGCGCTTGCCATAGTTACCCAGTTGCCTGCCGCAAATCACGCCGCCGTGCCAGTCCACTGCTCTCGGATGTGATTCTTCGAGGGATGAGCCTCGGACTTCGATTCCTGAGCCTCGGGCTTCTCGAGCCAGCCGTTCCTTCTCCTCGTCGTCCTGGCTGTCGTGGGTTCCTCGGCCTTCGGCTGCACCCTGCAGACCCTGCTGCTGGCCCCTGCAGGGCCCCCGCTGCCTCCTGCGCTGGCGCTGCGGGACCCCGCCCGGCCCGGCTGCAGCTCGCGGAAAGGCTCGACCTGATCTTCCGGGGGCGGCCAGGAGGGGGGCGGAGACTAGGAGGGGGGTGGATAGCCTGGCGTGGGCCATGATATTTCCTCAGATTTCATGGCGCCTCTTCTCATTTCATTACTCAGGAGGGAACAAAAGCACACAGACACAATACATCGACGACTCCCAGGAAAATATGGGAAAATATGGGAAGTGGGGGGGAAGACAAAAACCCAGAAAATATATGAACATATGGGGCATCCTGTTATTTGTGTGTATATATATATATATATATATATATATATATATATATATATATATATATGTGTGTGTGTGTGTGTGTGTGTGTGTGTGTCCCTGGGCTCCGTTACCATGGGCCGCGCACATGCCGCCGGCCAGTATTTGCGACCCCCCCTCTTGGGCGCCCCCCTCTTGGCCGCCCCCGAAGCTTCGACGATCCCTCCAACCCCTGGTCGGTCATCGCTTGCCTTGTGGGCGACGATCAATGGGGAGGAAGCCGGTTTGCCGATAATTTCCAGACCTATGAAACGTGTTTTTTTCCTATCAAGTTTTACAGAGATTGAAAATCATGTTGGAAATCATGTTGTAAACACGTCGTGTAGAACATTTTCCAAACATTTTAAACACACACTTGGTTTCAACGATAGGACTGTTAGGGTGCCCGCTGTCATGGCATCCACATGTTTTGCCGTGCTCATTCTGTGCCGTGGTACCTCCAGGGGAGTGGTCTGCACGGCCCTCGTGCCGGTTGCGCAGCACCTGATTCTGCCGATCCCGGTCGTCGCTGCTCGATGCCATGGTGGTTATGACCCTGCGCGCCTGGCGTTGGCCTTCACCTGGTCTCCTTGACGTCACGTGCGCAGGTTTTGCTTGGCTTGCTCCCAACCTTGTTCTAGGTTCAACTCGGGCTTGTCCCTCTACAGGAGGAATATTCCAAAATAGTCCAAAAATAGTCGGGGGACGATTTTTTCATTGTGTTTGACCTTTTTTGATTTTTGTTTGACCATTTTTTAATTGGTCGTCCAAAATCCGCCTGTAGGGGGAAATGCCCGACCCAATTCTAGTTGTCCTACACCGTCCCGTGAACCTGGCCCTGGCCTCCACGTTCCGGCCCCGTGGACTTCCACCCCCCTGGTGCACGCCCTGCACTTCGCCATGCGCTCCTGGCACCCGCGAGCAAGGGCTTCTTACGTTCGGACGGCGGCCCCCGCGCCCCGCGCGTATCCCTCCTCTTTGCCCCCTCCCCTGTGCCACGTTCGCGGGCCGTGTGTCCCACGCCATACCTTCACCGCTTCTCGGAGTCAAGTCGCCGCCGACCAAAACGTCGTGGGTCCCTCTGGCGCAGTTTCTCCCTCCGGGCTCTGCTCTCACGGTTCGCGCGCAGGCCCCGGGGGCTGCGCACCTCGTCCGCTCTCCGCGGCACTGCTTGGCGCGCCGAAGGGCCGCGGCATGGACGCGCTGCTGTGTGGCGTGGGGGGCGTCATGACGTCGGTGGCCTTCACCGAGCTGCTGCCCGAGGCGCCCTTGCCAGCTCTGGAGGGGGAGGAGGAGGAGGAGGAGGAGGATGAGGAGGAGGGAGGAGGAGAAGGAGGAGGAGGAGGAGGAGGAGGAGAGGGAGGAGGGGAGGAGGGAGGTGGAGGAGGAGGAGGAGGAGGGGGGGGGGGGGGGGGGGGGAGGAGGGGGGGGGGGGGGGGGGAGGAGGAGGGGGAGGGAGGAGGAGGAGGATGAGGAGAGGAGGAGGAGGAGGAGGAGGAGAGGGGACGGAGGAGGAGGAGGATAGGAGGAGGAGGAGGAGGAGGAGGAGGAGGAGGAGGAGGAGGGGGAGGCGGAGGAGGAGGAGGAGGAGGAGGAGGGGGAGGAGGAGGAGGAAGAGGAGGAGGAGCAGGAGCAGGCTCGGCAGCGCGCAAAAGAGAGCATGGTCAGAGGCTGGCCTCGTACGTCAGAAGACCCTTAGCCTTTCAGAAGATGCGGGGTCCACGGCTTCCAATGGGGCCAGGTATGTGAAAGGCATCCCCAGTAGGTCCCCTGTAGGTCCAGCCGCGTTCCCTCGCCCTGCCCGCCAGTTGCGCGCGCCGCTGAGAGTAGAAGAGTCGACAGGCATACTCCTCGCCGTCCTGTCAATCTCGGTGTGCCGCTCAGTGCAAATGCCGATGATCTGCGCGCCCGCGGCCGTGATTCGGCGGGGGCCTTCGCATCGTCTTGGCCCGCCTTCGGTGGGCCCGGATCACTCGCAGGGGCCCCATCTTGCGATTCGGGCCCTGCGGCGCGAGAGCCTGAAGGTGACGATGACCGCGCTTCGCCCTCCGCGCGGCGCGAAGAGCGACGTGCAGTGACCCCATCGGTGACCCGAGTCACGTCGTGAACGCCAGATCGACGACGTTTGAGGCGGGCTCGCGCAGGGCGAGAGACGGCCACGGGGCCCATACCCCCATCGTCGCAGCGGTTTCGCGGCGTGGGCCCCCGGGGATCTCGCCGCGGGCCGCTTTTGCTCGCCCCGTGGCCCGAGAAGCGGCCCCTGGAGGCGGAGATTGAGAAACAACACGCCTACATACAGTGGAGGCCCATGCCAAGAAACGCCCTGCTTGCCTCCAGGGTGCCCTGGGTTTCTTGGGTTTCGATTGGTTTTCGTTGGTAAGCGTGACGCTTCCACACCAAGAATCGATGGACGTCCTGGGGTCTCAGGGTTGGGTTTCTTCTGGAAGATTTCTTGTGGACTGGCGTCCACTGTATTGTTTTTGTCTTGTTTGCGACGCCTCGAGGGATTCGCGACCCCGGACCTCTCCTGGGGTGCGTTTTTCGGGCATGGCTTCGAGGTGCATCCAGCCGTGGCGACGAGCGCGTCTCTGGAGGCCCAGGAACCGACCAACCGCCGATCATTGATTCTCCTCTTCCCCCCTTCTGCTTCTCCTCCTCCCTCCCTCTCTCCCTCCCTCCCTCCTCCCTCTTGGTCCTGCCCCCTCCTCCCCCTCCTCCTCCACCTCACGCTCTCCCCTCTCCATCCCTCTCCCTCCCGTAGGATAGGAGCGCATTCAGTCGAGCTTCCCACCCGTTCCGATCTCCTTGGAAAGCCTACGGGAATTAGTCGGTCTTTTCCACGGTCTGGCTTGAGTCTCGTAAGGGCATTCGATTTCAATCCCCTCTTTGGATGCGGTGCCCCATTGGACACCATTTTCAAGCCGTTCTGTTCCACTATAGGCGGCAGGACATGGTGTTTGGATGAAGCTGGCGGCGTTGTTGGGAAGCCCCCACTGCGCGCCCTCGGTTTGCGAGATTCACTGCCCTGACCACGAGTGTAAACAACGGACTCTTGCGACCACCGTGCTTCCCAGGGAAGTGGCACCAGGCAGCAGGCGCGCGCCGCTGGTCCGCCGCGGCCCCGCAGGCGCTTGCCGAGCGCCAGCCGCTGCACGTTGCCGCAGGCTTGATCGCTGGCTTCGCCGTCATGATGCTCACGCACGAGCTCGCCTAGCGGGCGGCCAACTTGTGCCGCTGAGCGCCGGCAATACCGTCTTGGGGGGCGGGGGGGAGGGGGGCCCTCATTCTCCACCTCCTCCCCTTCCCTTTCTTTCAAGACTTCGCACCAGCGCGCACCACCAGGCATTGCGCACTGAAACCATGCGGTACAGATGTGAATAGAAAGCGATAGGGAGTGGGCCTCAGCCGGTCATGTGCTTGTTGATGTACATGTTGAACTTGTTGCTCAGGCCGGGTTCCCTTCTCTTGATTCCTGGGTCCCTGCGGGTGAGGCGGAGGGGGGGCAGGCAGAGACATGGCAGATGGGCAAGAGGAAAAGCAGAGCCTAGGGAGTAGGTCACGGAGGAGCTCGGGCCTCTCACTGCACTTCTTGAGACGAGCGCAGGGGTCAAAAGCCGACTCCTTAGCCTCGACTCCTCCTCCTCCTCCTCCTCCTCCTCCTCCTCCTCCTCCTCCTCGTCCTTCTCCTTCTGCTTCGCCTCCTGCTCTTTGAGGGTGAGACGGGGGACGGTAGCTGGCTCAGGCGCATACTTGTTTCGCCTTGTGTCCATGGATGCGCACGCAGTTCCAAGGTAGTCGGGCCCGCGAGAAGCAGCGGGCACGTACAGAACGAAGCCAGGTCGTGCCGCCCGCTTCTGCAGCAAAAGTTGTGCAGCGAGTTGTTGCCAGGCCTCATCGTGGCAAATTGTTGTCGCGCTTCTACGGCGAGAGTTCGCCCGAGCTCCACAGACTCCTCATCCCCATCCCTGGCTTCACTCGGGATGAGGGGGGAAGGGGGGGGGGGAAGTGGGCGGAGGAAGGGGAAGGAGTCGGCGGAGAAAGAGGACGTGGAGAATTGGAGGAGGGGGGGAGGAGGAGGAGGAGAAGGAGGAGGAGGAGGAGGAGGAGGAGGAGGAGGAGGAGGAGGAGGAAGAGGAGGAGGAGGAGGAGGAGGAGGAGGAGGAGGAGGAGGGGGAGGAGGAGGAGACGGACCTGGTTCTGGGCGCCCACCTCTCGGCGCAACGGTCCGCAGCGGCCCCAGCTCTCCCCCCGAAGCACAGGATGGTACCCCCATGGGGGGGGGCGCAGGGCACCGCGAACTTGGGCGGGATGCCGACTGGGCCGACGTCGGGTCCGACGAGCCCGCCCAGCACCGCCGCGCGCCGTGCCGCAGCAGCGCTCCCGCGCTTCTCCCCTGCACGGCGCCTGCACCTCCGCGCCCGCGGCCACGCCGGCGCGGTGTCCCTTTTAGTTCTCTAATCGTTTCGAGAGGGCAGGGTGGACACTTGGGTGCCCATCGCAGCCTGGCAAGCAACGCAACACATGTTGTGCTTGGCGTCGTCCAGCAGCGTCTTGGCTCAGGCCTTGTCTCCAGCAACGCATTGCTGTTTTTAGCTGCGGGCTTGATTTGAGCAAGTATGTCAAATACTGGTTTTAGACGTGTTCAAACTTGGTGATCAGTTGTCTAGCGTTTCATGTTTATTTGTCCACTACGGACAGGAAGGACACGGCTGCAGCAAAGCACGTACATTGCACGCGCAAAGATATGACGAACGATCGCCAAGAATGTGTTATCTTCAAATTGTTTCGGCAAATGCCAGCTACGAATTACGGTGGGAGATGTCAGCAGACTGCTAATATGTGGGTAACCTTGTGAGTTGAGAGAAAACAAGCAGTGCAAGCAATAATGAGTACATTTGGATGCCTAGCGTCTGGTCTCCCACCCTCCTCTCTTCTCGTCGTCTCACTCCTCCACCCCTCCACCCACCCACCCTCCCCCTCTACTTGCCCCACCTCCCCGGCCGCGCGCCCAGAGGCCTCTCCTCCCCCTCCACCCCCAGAGGCTGCACCGTACCCCTCCTCTCCCCAGAGATCCGATGTCGTGATTTTTTCAATTCGCGGTCTTCGGAAGTCTCGACCCAGTCCCCAGGACCGGCTTTTCATCCTGAGTAGTTTTTTGACGGTCCCTGGGACCAGCGAGGGCCCCTAGAGGGCCGAAAACTGCGAAACACTTCCGCCTTGATTTTCTCAATGCGTTGGCTCTCTGGGGATCGCTCCGCACCCTCGGCGTCGCGCAGAAGGGGCCGTGTCGCGAGAGGGGGGGGCGCCTCTATGTGTGAAGATCGCTTGTCTCCTCCTTTCATCCTTCTTTCCTGTTATTCTCTCGGCCCAGGTATTGGACAGCATCTGGCATCCTGCTGGACGCACCTTGCGCCCGCCGTCCGCAGGGCAGGGCGCGAGGACCGAAGACCTCCATCTGTTGTCTCCCGCATCCCCTAGTTACCTACGGGTCCTACGGCCGGTCCGACCCTCTGGTCGTTGACCTCCTCCGTCCACAGCCTCCCGGCGCCCAGAGGCTTCAGAGGATCGGGCCGGGCGAAAGGGGGGGATTGGGAAAGGGGGGGTTACGAAACTTGCTGCATGGAGCTGGTTTCGGCCTCACCGAGGGGCCCATTCCTCGATACATGGCCGTCTCCGGCGCCGGGAGGCGCCAGAAAAATCAGCTACGTGAGCTGATTCTCAAACCCCCCCTTTGCTATCCCCCCCCCTTTCGCCCGACCCGAGAGGAGGAGGGGGCCGCCGCTTCGGCGCCTCGCCCCCCGCGGGCGCCCCGCGCGGCCCCGCCGCCAGGGCCCCCGAGCGCGCGCGCGGACCGGCGCGGACCGCGTCCGCGCGGCGGCGCCGGCGCCGCGCCGCGGCGGAGCACGCCGCGTTGCCGCGGGGCGGGGCGCGGGGAGCACGGGGGCCACACGCAGTGGAGGGTTTCTCCGAATGGCTTAGGCGACCCGTCCTCCCTCCCCTCCTCCCTCCTCCTCCTCCTCCTCCCTCCTCCTCCTCCTCCATCTCCTCCTCCGCCTCCCCTCCTCCTTCTCCTCCTCCTTCCTCCTCCTCCTCCTCCTCCTCCTCTCCTCCTCCTCCTCCCCTCCTCCTCCTCCTCCATCTCCTCCATCTCCTCTCCTCCTCCTGCTCCTCCTCCTCCTCCTCCTCTCCTCCTCCTCCTCCTCCTCCACCTCCTCCTCCTCCTCCTCGTCCTCCTCCTCTTCCTCGGGTCGCTTACGGCCCCAGCGGAAACCGTGCAGCGTCGTTAAATAATCAGGACGGGCCAGGACGGGAGGTTCTTGGTCAATTTCGGCCTCGGGGGGCCCTCTCCGGGCCCCGGGGCCGTCAAGGAATGGTCCAGAATGAAAAACCGGTCCCGGGGAAAGGGTCGGGACTTCCAGGGGCCCCGTATTGAGAAAATCAAGACGTCGCATGTCTGGGCATGTGAGCCCTACCCCCCCCTGTCCCCCAGGATTTCTAGGGGGAGGGGTTCACTTCCCTCGGAGGCTCGTAAGCGAAATGAACACGCCCCACCCCCCTTAGAAATCGTGTGGGGGGGGAGGGTAGGGCTCACATGTGTCCACCTGGGGGAGCACAGGGACCCGAGCGCGCCAGGTAGTCACCAGCCTCGAACTTGTCCCTGTCCCTAAGATTGACACGCCAAAAAAGGCGATGGCAATCTCAGGGATGCACCCTCGGAAACTGATGGAGCCCCTAGGATCGCCTTCGTGATGAGGCGATGTCCAACATAGGGATATGGATACGGTGGGGGCGTTCGTTGAGGAATGCGCCCATGGGGCTTCAGACCCTGGAGGGTTCCTTATCTCATGAGGGCGGCGGTGATATCCATGGCAACTCCACGATTGGAGTTCCACTGGCTTCCAGACCCTGGCTCTTTTAGGGATGCACCCTCAGAAACGGAGGGAGGCCCTAGGATCGCCATCGTGATGAGGCGATGCCCAACATAGGGATAGGGATACGGCGGCGGCATTGGATAAGGACCTTCCTGAGGCCCAGACCCTGGCGCATTCCCTTTCGTTTCAAGGCGAGGTGGGTGGCCCACGTTTGGCCGCCCATCGGTCGCGAGACCCCGGGCTCCTCATCGAAGATATCCTCATCTTGAACCTCCACCGGATGTTCCAGGCTGGCAGGGCAGCACCTCGCCGAGTGCAGAGCGGTCCCCGGGAGGCGTGCCAGGAGGGGCCTCGCCGTCGGCGGCGCCTCCTCGCGCGCGCGCGGCGGAGGGCGGCGGAAGCACAATGTCGGCGGGCCACCGGCATTGAGCAGTGGCGAAGCGTCCTGGCCTGCTGATAGGCCTAGCAAAGAATGTTCTAAGGACCTCTTGTGCTTTGCGCGAGATGACACTGTTCTAAGAACACATCTGGCTGAGGCTGTCGTGTGTTCACAAGTCGGGCTGCATTCTAAGAACATTGATTTTGTAGTTCTTAGAGCATTTTGGGGTTCTAAGAACATGTCGTGGTAGGCCTATAGGAATGCCGGGACGGTCGGTCCCTCCTCAACGGCAGGGGGCGGCGGAGGTTCTAGTCAGACGTCAATAGTTGTTCCCCCACTTAGGCAGAAGTCGGGCGTGTCCTTCCACAGGAGGAACATTACAAAACAGTAAATTCGTTTGGCGAAAGACCCAAACATACGCAGTTGTGAATACTGCATTTGTGAATACCATCTTCGCCCACGCTCCCTATGTGGCCACGGCTTCCCGCCAGAGCCCGACATGCTCAGGGACACGTTCGCGGCCGTCTTCGCGGGCGCCGACGACGACGACGACGAGGACGGCGCCCCCCTGACCGAGGAGCAGAAGCAGGAGAGTGCTCTGAGAGCCATGAGGGAAGCTGCCGCTGGCGCTTTCGGTGGAGCTCCTATGGGGCCACGATCCTCGCGAGGAGTGCGCCGAAATGGCCCGAAGCCGCTATGCGAACCTTGCCGCTGGGGCGTTTGCCCTTGGCGCCTTCGGTGGAACTCCCATAGGGCCACGATCGTCAGGGGTGTGTTGTAATGGCCCGAGGCCGCCATGCGAACCTTGCCACTGGCGCCTTCTGTGGAGCTCCCTATGGGGCCACGATCCTGGTGAGGGGTGTGCCGAAATGGCCGGGGGCCGCCGTGCGAACCCTGCCGCCGGGGCCTCTGGCGGAGCTCGACCGCGAACCGCGTGAGGGGTGTGCCCCAATGGGGCGAGGC